ATCATTTTGACCCATACAATGTATTGTTGGCGATTGCTACAAATATACCCCAGCGACTTCAGACTGCTTTTGTGCTCCAGCGTCACAAATAACTTGTGAATTGACATTGAATTCTTTTTATTTATTTGTATTTGTTTTTTTAAACACTGGCTTTTCGTTCTACAAAAGCATTAAAATGCATGACGTTGTGCTATATTTTAGTTATTGGCGCATTCTTTTTCTGGCCACAAAAATATATATGCTTATGTAATATGTATGTAAAAAATAAAGTCTTGAAAAGAGTGAAAGCCTATTTTCTATTGCACTAAATTGAATAGCAGACCATTACCCTCTCACATCAGTAGAGTCTTCAGAGCAGTGTAAATAATTGTCCCGAGCTGTTTGGTAATCATGTTAAATGTTTTCTGTAGCTCATCTAAGCGTGCTCAGGACAAAGAGAAGGAGTCTGCGCCCTCTCCTTCCATCACGCTGCAGCGGACGCCCAAATCAGAGCACCAGGGCCGCAAGCGGACGCTCAGCCAGTCCTCCGCCTCTGTACCCAGCAGCAAGAGCAGCTCCAACTCCAAACACCGCAAAGGCGACGACAAGCCCTTACGCAGGGATGCCAAGGTGTGTTTGCGCTTGTGGCCCTCTGTATGCTGCCAGTGTTTACAGTCTCCGCCTTTTGCGCAACACGTGTATGTACAGTGACGTATGGAGTGTCTGGAGGGTTTTGCAACACTTATGTAATAATGCAGTACTAAACTGACAGTTCTGTCCCGTCAGCCTCAAAGCAAGGAAAATTTCATATTTTTAATACGTGCATAGTTTTACATTCTACATAAATGCATATGCGCCACCTTTTCATTGTATCTGTGTGTGTGTGTGTGTCTATGTACATGCCTTTGCTTAGTATTTTCTAACTCTTTAGACTTTGTTTTGCCATAGCGAGGGTTTCTGCAAGTCTCAATTCAGAACAGCAAGTCTTAAATTCATAGTCATGTTATTAAATATTGCATGCATTGCAAAAAAATTTTTGTTTTCCAATAGAAACATCTAAACATTTACTTGAGGTGCAAATGTAAAGTCTTGAAAAATTGAACAAAATTAAAGTGTTTAAGCTTAAAACATCCGTCAGTGGGGAATGAAAACTTGTTTTCCATTTGAATTAAGTTGATTTTTCTGAGCCAGTCGGCAGATATTTGTTCTTGTTTCAATCACAAACTCTTGATCGTCTTGGATCAGTTTTTCAGAAAAATAGATTTCTTATGTCATTATAAATGTATCTTGATTTAAGAATCCTTAGACATTTGTCAAGATGTGTTATTTTTATTTTTTATTTTCAGGAGAAAAGCTCTAAAACAGAGAATCCCATTGCAGTGCCGCCTCTCTCTGATGGCTCTAAATCTAGATCCAAACTCCTGTTTGAAGACAGGTATGGAGATTTTCATCTTTTGTCTGAATAATTAAGATCTTTTTACACTGTGTGATTGTGATAAAAGCTTTAATGTTAATCCGATTTAACGGTCTATTACTATAAGTCAGACCTTTTTTTTTTTTCCATCATGTCACATTGAGAAGCCACACCCAAATTGAAAAAACCCCCAAAATATTCCTTAAGAAATTTCTCAAATAAGAAACACACTGAATTAGGCTTGCTGCGATAGACTGTGTTTTCGGTTATTCGGTGTTAAGCCGCAACACCGGTTACGTCATCTTCGTTTCTTATTTATTTGGTTCCACAGTGTTTGCTGATTACTTTATTTAAACTTTGTGTATTTTATTTTACATCAAGGTGTATATGCCGTGCCTCCAAGCTTTCTTATTCGTTTTGCTAATAAACGTTCTATGTTTCTTATTTATTTGGTTCCACAGTGTTTGCTGATTTTCAGTTTTATATACCCATTTAAATTGTGTAGCCCAAGTAATTTTATTTGGCATATATGGTGTATTTTTATTTGTTTTGTTAATAAAAGTTATGAGTTTGACGTTGTTGCTTGAATTGAATCAACTAATTAATTGCCGCTAATTTGAAAGTGAAAGTAAAACGCGCACGGCACTTTTTCCAAGCTATTTTAAAGCCAAGTAATCCGAGGAAAAGAGGGAAAACTCAAACGAACAATTGCTTGGCGCCGAATTGCGGCACTTTTACAAGTCATTTGAAAGCTAAGAAAAGCGGGAAACTCAAACGAACTAACACCCCCCCTCCCACCCCAACGGTGATACCGGTATTATCGGTGTTGTCACACGTCGATTAACCAGTGGGAAAATTTCCTCACCGTCACAACCCTACACTGAATTAAACATTTGAAATCGACTCAAAGTCTTTGTTTTATTTACAACTCAATATCATTTTTACAGTGCATGGTGAAATCTCATTGGTCTAAAATCTGGCTACACATAGTGGGGCATTTCAGCATCATGTATTGTTATTGGCTGTGATTATTTTCTTTATTTATTACTTCATTGTTCAACTCTTCCGTCTTAATTTTTGGACATGGTGTTGAAGTTTTTGAACTTTTGATGTCACACTCTTTTGTGAAGTAACAGCCAGTCCTTCATCTGAATTGCAGGGTTCATTCAGCTGATCATTACCTTCAAGAAGCCAAGAAACTGAAACACAACGCAGATGCTCTGGTGAGGGTTTGTTTACTGGCCTACAGTTCTCGACGTGCGTGTCAGATAATCTGCATGATATTTCTATGACCCCTGACCTTTTGTCTTAGTTCTACATTGAGAGCGACACAACAGGTGCTCTCCTCACACGAAGCACATGGGTCAGTTCTGTTTCTTTCTATAAAGGGGTTATCAAGCATCAAAAAATGTTTAATGCAACCTTAAATTTTTTTTTTTTTTCTGAGCAAAAAATAATGCCTATCATGCATTTTTATCATGATTTACAGAAGACACCCACTATAATGTCATTCAGTGTAACAATAGTTCATATACTAAAAAATATTGTCAGGCCTATTTAAAATAAGAGTCATTCGATGACATTAAAAGACTCACAGTGCAGCCCCTAAAATACTAATTAACTGTCATTTACTTCTTTACCAGTATTTGCCACTCAGCAAGATGTTTTTATTATTTAAAATATAATAGCATTTAGTATGATTACTTTTTCTTTTATATTCGAGGTAACACTCAATTCTCACTATGAGAATATTTTAGATCCCTTAATCCACACCATACCTAAACTAACAACTAACTTACTAACAGTTAATAAGCAGCAGATTAGGAGTTTATTGAGGCAAAAGTGGTAGTTAATAGTTAATAGTGAGAATTGCTCCCCCAGCAGCAGATTAGGAGTTTATTGAGGCAAAAGTGGTAGTTAATAGTTAGTTAATAGTGAGAATTGCTCCCCTAACTAAAGTGTGACCATATATTTTAATAAGTACTGGGCAGTATAATTGTTTCACTTTCGCATAAATATATCTGTTACGCTGAATGAAGACAGAACATTATTTCACCTATATTTTTGACATGTTGTTTAAAGCATTAAAAGTAGATGCTTTACTTGCCTTTAATATGCTTTCTATGTATGCAAATTAAATTTGATGGGGACTCCAAAATGGGACATCTCGTCTTTGACCCATATGTCAAAAATATGTGTCAGAAGTAAATGCAGGCATGAAAGCTGAGAATAAAAAAAGACAATTGATTGTCCTTTATAGCACATCTTTGCATTCTCACACATTTCGTAGCGTAACGTGTGGAATGGAGCTTAGTGTGGAGTTAGTTTTGGCTCTGATGTGCATCGTCCTTTCCACAGATGGACCGGTTTGAGAAAGCCGTGTACTACCTGGACGCTGTGGTGTCTTTCATCGAGTGTGGAAACGCCCTGGAGAAAAGTGCCCAGGAGGCCAAATCGCCCTTCCCCATGTACGCAGAAACCGTGGAACTCATCAAGTAAGTTGCCAGAATATGTCCTCCAGCGTCTCTCTTCATTGTGCTTTCAGAGTTTGCTGACAAACGTGTGTGTTTGCGTGTTGTGCAGGTACACTATGAAGCTGAAGAGCTACCTGGCGCCGGATGCAACCTCTGCAGACAAAAGGCTAGCTGTGCTGTGGTACGTAGCAGAAACGCAGCAGTTCTGCACTTTTAAGTCAACCATTTTCATTCACAGCAAGGCCAACCACTGCTCTCTAAATGAACACGAGGGAGAATATGAGGAGATAGTCATCTTCATTGTGGACATGGGGAACTAATAATCGAATGGGTTGTGTTTTAAATCGATTAAAGTGCACTGAATCGTCGTGAAGACTGACTCATGGTTTATTTACATGTATGCTTTCATAATCTTTATAATCTAAAATTTCCTACAGAGTGATGTTAAAGGAATAGTTCACCCAAAAATGAGAATCCGGTCATTATTTACTCATAGTACACTTGTATGAGTTTCTTTGTTCTGTTGAACACAAAAGATATTTTACAGAATGTTGGTAACCAGACTGTTTCCGGTCCCCATTGACTTTTTCTGTACTATGGAAGTCAATGGCTGCCATCAACTGTTTGGCTATCAACATTCTTCAAACTATCTTTTTATCTTCAAGGAAACTCATACAGGTCTGGAACAAGTGGAGGGTGAGTAAATTATGACAAAATATTCATTTTTGGCAGATTATTCCTTCAAATTTATTGCCAATGTTTGATCCCAGTTATAAAGTAAAGCTAAGTTAATGTGGATCCAGTGTTTGGTAACCAGTGGCAGATCTAATCAGTGGATCCGTCTGTCTCTCTGCAGCCTGAGGTGCCAAGCGCTCCTGTATTTGAGGCTCTTCAAGCTACGCAAAGAAAGTGCACTGAAATACTCTAAAACGCTCACTGAACACTTGAAGGTAACGGGATTTTCTGTTTTTTATATTACGACTATAAGGTTGGCATGTCAAGGTTCGGTAACACTTTATTTAAAGGTGCCCTTGTTACACATGTTACATGTACTTACTATTATAATAACAATAAATTATGCATAATTACATGCAAGTAACCCTAAGCCAAACCCTAACCATATAGTAAGTGCATGTAGTTAATTAATATTACTCAGTACTTAAATGTATAATTACACTGTAACAAGGACACCTTAAAATAAAGTGTAACCCAAGGTTCCTCTTCTCAAACTATTTGCATATCTACACTACAATTTATTACATGTATGCTTTCATAATCTTTATAATCTAAAATTTCCTACAGAGTGATGTTAAAGGAATAGTTCACCCAAAAATGAGAATCCGGTCATTATTTACTCATAGTACACTTGTATGAGTTTCTTTGTTCTGTTGAACACAAAAGATATTTTACAGAATGTTGGTAACCAGACTGTTTCCGGTCCCCATTGACTTTTTCTGTACTATGGAAGTCAATGGCTGCCATCAACTGTTTGGCTATCAACATTCTTCAAACTATCTTTTTATCTTCAAGGAAACTCATACAGGTCTGGAACAAGTGGAGGGTGAGTAAATTATGACAAAATATTCATTTTTGGCAGATTATTCCTTCAAATTTATTGCCAATGTTTGATCCCAGTTATAAAGTAAAGCTAAGTTAATGTGGATCCAGTGTTTGGTAACCAGTGGCAGATCTAATCAGTGGATCCGTCTGTCTCTCTGCAGCCTGAGGTGCCAAGCGCTCCTGTATTTGAGGCTCTTCAAGCTACGCAAAGAAAGTGCACTGAAATACTCTAAAACGCTCACTGAACACTTGAAGGTAACAGGATTTTCTGTTTTTTATATTACGACTATAAGGTTGGCATGCCAAGGTTCGGTAACACTTTATTTAAAGGTGCCCTTGTTACACATGTTACATGTACTTACTATTATAATAACAATAAATTATGCATAATTACATGCAAGTAACCCTAAGCCAAACCCTAACCATATAGTAAGTGCATGTAGTTAATTAATATTACTCAGTACTTAAATGTATAATTACACTGTAACAAGGACACCTTAAAATAAAGTGTAACCCAAGGTTCCTCTTCTCAAACTATTTGCATATCTACACTACAATTTAAATGTTTTGAGTCTGTACGATTTTTTTTTTTAAATGTTTTTGAAAGAACCAAGGCTGTGTTTTGCTTTATGTTAAATATCATTATATTAATTAAATATTTAAAAATATGATTACAATTTAAACTGATTTCTGTTTGAATTTAAAATGTTTTACTGTAAAATGTAATTTATTTCTGTGATCAAAGCTGTATTTTCAGCATCATTACTCCAGTCTTCAGTGTCACATGATCTTCAGAAATCATTCTAATATGCTGATTTGCTGCTCAAGAAACATTTCTATTACTTTACTGTCTTTTGATCAATCTAATGTGTCCTTGCTAAATATAAAAGTATTAATTTCATTAAAAAAAAATCTTACTGACCCCAAACTTTTTAACGGTAGTGTAGGTCTGAAATATCCAGTATGACAAAATTACTGAAAACATGAAAACCTTGTTGTATTTGTCCGTCAAAAGATTACTATGATGTGAAATTTAATTGTTGTTGTTGTTAATACACCTTAAAATAAAGTGTAACCCAAGGTTCCTCTTCTCAAACTATTTGCATATCTACACTACAATTTAAATGTTTTGAGTCTGTACGATTTTTTTTTTTAAATGTTTTTGAAAGAACCAAGGCTGTGTTTTGCTTTGTTAAATATCATTATATTAATTAAATATTTAAAAATATGATTACAATTTAAACTGATTTCTGTTTGAATTTAAAATGTTTTACTGTAAAATGTAATTTATTTCTGTGATCAAAGCTGTATTTTCAGCATCATTACTCCAGTCTTCAGTGTCACATGATCTTCAGAAATCATTCTAATATGCTGATTTGCTGCTCAAGAAACATTTCTATTACTTTACTGTCTTTTGATCAATCTAATGTGTCCTTGCTAAATATAAAAGTATTAATTTCATTAAAAAAAAATCTTACTGACCCCAAACTTTTTAACGGTAGTGTAGGTCTGAAATATCCAGTATGACAAAATTACTGAAAACATGAAAACCTTGTTGTATTTGTCCGTCAAAAGATTACTATGATGTGAAATTTAATTGTTGTTGTTGTTAATTTTTCTCAAAATGTTTCAAAATCATAACATATACAAGATGTATTAACTAAGGTTTTATTTATTTATTTTTTCCAGAATTCGTTGAGTAATACCCAAGCTCCGTCTCCTGGAGTAGCAAAGTAAGTTACATTCGTTTATATTATTATTGTAGATTTTTTAAATATTATAGAAATGTGAGGGTGTCCACCCACAACACCATAGCAACCGCATGTCAGTGTGTAACAACACGTTAGCAACATCCTGGCAACCACATTTAAAAAAATAAATAAATAAAAATGTATAGTAAAAAAAATATATAGACCAATAGGTATTTCGCTCCACTTTTATATACCGGATCACAGGTTGTCATTATGCAATGGCAAACAGTAAATAACTTGCAAATTAACAAAATTGATATTAAAATTTTTTTTTTTTTTTTTTGCACTTGCCTTTCTTTCTAAAAATGTGTTAAAACGTGAGGTTGTGCTATGTTCTCTTCTTGAAATATAAGCCAGTATTTCAAAATGCACATTTAATGCCATGCATTGCAAATAAAAATATAAAATATCTTCCTCAGTATTTGTTTTTAGTTATAAATATTTAAACATCAAGATACATTAAATTATTGAAAAATATAACAAAATTATGAGTTTATACTTAAAGCAACCTTTTTTCCAAAATAATTTTTTTTCAGTCCATTGGCAGATATTTGTTCTTGTTTTAATCATAAACTCACTTCATTTTGATCAATTTCTCAAAAATCAAGACTTCCTATCATTTCTTTTTTTTTTTTGCTTCAAGTAAATGTATCTTGATTTTAAGAATTAAGACTTTTGCACTGAAAACAAGCCATATATACTGATGAAGAGCATCACTTTTTTTCAGTGTGAAAAGATGATACAGTAAATTCCATATTCAATTTATTCTTTACATTTTAAGTCTTAAATATACCTTCATAAAACCTGCAGAAACCCTGTACATATGAATAAACTTAGTTTTCATAGTTTATCTTGGTAGTTAGTCTCTTAAACATTTACCCCTGGTTTCACAGACAAGGCTTGAGCCTAGTCCTAGACTAAAATGAGCTGTTTCAACTGAAAGAAACTTGCTCTGACTGATCTTAAAATATATCAGTGTCTTTGTTTTGGCTCAAGATGCACACCAGTAATGTTTTTTTTTTTCTAAGCACGTTTATAAAAATTACTTAAATGTCCTAATTGAACTATGGCCTTATCCTGGCTTAGTCTTAGCCCTGTCTGTGAAACACTTCCAGTGAGGACAGGAGGAATAGCTCTTCATTGCGTCCTGACTCGCTCTCGTCTCTGTCCTCTGCGTCCTGCAGTAAAACGGCGGGAATGCCGTCTCCGGTCTCCCCAAAACTGTCTCCTGGAAGTGCGGGCAGCTACTCCTCCAGCAGCTCCAGCCAGAGCACCAGCTCCTCCGTCACCATCCCCCAGCGCATCCACCAGATGGCAGCCAGCTACGTCCAGGTCACCTCCAACTTCCTCTACGCCATCGAGGTGTGGGAGCAGGCCGAACAGCTCGCCAAAGAGCAGAGAGGTATTTGTTTTTACTTCTGCCTTTTTCCAAACAAAACCAAGTCCATCTTCCTGAAGTTTTGGCTCAAGACGCACACCATTAATGTTTTTTTTTTTTTCTAAGCACGTTTATAAAAATTACTTAAATGTCCTAATTGAACTATGGCCTTATCCTGGCTTAGTCTAAGCCCCGTCTGTGAAACACTTCCAGTGAGGACAGGAGGAATAGCTCTTCATTGCGTCCTGACTCGCTCTCGTCTCTGTCCTCTGCGTCCTGCAGTAAAACGGCGGGAATGCCGTCTCCGGTCTCCCCAAAACTGTCTCCTGGAAGTGCGGGCAGCTACTCCTCCAGCAGCTCCAGCCAGAGCACCAGCTCCTCCGTCACCATCCCCCAGCGCATCCACCAGATGGCAGCCAGCTACGTCCAGGTCACCTCCAACTTCCTCTACGCCATCGAGGTGTGGGAGCAGGCCGAACAGCTCGCCAAAGAGCAGAGAGGTATTTGTTTTTACTTCTGCCTTTTTCCAAACAAAACCAAGTCCATCTTCCTGAAGCTGTACTGAGGTGCTTTTGTAACTCCACACATCTTTTCTGACTTTTCTTCAGTCATTCTGTTTCCAAGCAAGCAGGAATTTTCATGGAAAGCATTGCATTGTCTGTTGTATTATTTGCTTACAGTATTGAAAGATTACAGGTTGGATATATAGTACATCTACTTTACCCATACAGTACTCTCATGTAGAGCAATATATACTATATAGCATATCTCAACTGTGCAATTGTTTGTATTGTTGCAAAAAGGTAAACTCTATTTTCGCAAATCTATGTATAAATTTGGATGTATATCTTTATAGCTCTATTTGCATACATACAGTACTCTCATGTAAAGCAATATATTCTAAATGTCAGCTGCTTGTTTTGTTTTTTTGTTGCAAAATTTAATTATTAATGCCGAGCTTTTTATGGAAATTTGGATGTACAGTGCCGTTCAAAAGTTTGGGATCAGAATAATTTTTTTATGTTTTTAAAGAAGTTTCTTCTGCTCATCAAGGCTGCATTTATTTGATCAAATATACAGAAATATTATTGCCATTTAAAATACTGGTTTTCTATTTGAATATACTTTAAAATGTAATTTATTTCTGTGATCAAAGCTGTATCTAATCTGCTAAATGTGACTATAAGACATGAAGATATTAAGATATTGTAAACATTTAATATTATGACTTTCTGTAAAAAACAGTGTATATTGTGAAAAACGCTTTATTTCAGATTTCAGAATCTGACTTGATTCTGGCTCAGGATCTGTTCCTGCTCGTCTTGTGTCTCATGTGTCCTGCTGAATACTGCTCTTTTTCTTCCCAGCAAATGCAAGATTTTTTTTTTTTTTCATGTTTTTTTTTTTTTTATTTCCTGCTTGCATGAATCCACATGTGAGCACCTGCTAAAGGACTGTCAAGTGTGACTTCTTCTTTATGTTTTTTTCCGCAGAGTTCTTCTCTGAACTGGACAAGGTTATGAGCCCGCTCATCTTCAACACCAGCAGCATGACTGAACTGGTGCGATTCACGCGGCAGGGCCTGCACTGGCTACGACTGGACGCCAAGCTCATACAGTAGAGCGGCCCTATCCGCGCTCAATCCGTAGCCCAAAACATTCACACTCGATCTGCCTCGGACATCTCTGTGACACTGTGTTCATTTCTACACCAGCTTGCCAAAAATGGAAGCACTCAGCGTCCCGCCCCTCCACCGCAAACCCTATGAATATTCATGAGAGGGGCGGCGGCCAAACCACACGTCTGTCAGAGCGCTCATACACTGCATCGTCCTGCTCATATCATCGGCTTGTTTAGCTAAAAAAAGCCTGGTTTCTTACTTTGACTGTCTTTTTTGTTAATTCTCTGCTAGCTGTAAGCAAACAAGAATAATAATTGGATGTTTATAGCTTTTTATTTCAACCAAAGTACCTCCCTTTAACCAAAGGTGCTTTAAAATTTAGGTTTTCTTCTTTTATCATTTTATCGTGCCTTGTATTTGATATACAGGAAACTAACTATCTTGAAATACCCATCTAGAAAGGTTTGAAGCTGAAAGAACATCATGCAGCGCTTGTATACCAGACCAAAAGACTGTTCGGCACCATATCAAGGCATTATTACGAATCTGTTATTTCGTTTTTTGGCCTGGCTCATCCACAGACGCCACATCAGAGTAAGTCATGTTTAGAGCCTGTCTTATTTGTATACGTCACTACCACAAACACCCAGGCCAAGATTTTTATACGAAATGTAGCGCTCGCATAGATGTCACTTTCTCACTCTTGATTTTCTGGTATTAAACGCAGGAGTATTTTATGACCGTGGCTCAGCCTAATAAAGATTTTATTTAGATAAGTTCCAAGTTGCGTTTTCACTCTTGGGCATGGAAACAGGGTTGCAATACGAGATGAGAGACGTATTTCTATTGTATATGAAAATATCATATTTAAATATTTAATGTGAGTCTTGAGGTTGCCTTTATAGTGTCATAGTCACCTGTGTGTCGCAGTTCTTTTAAAAGACAGCAGTCATGTGAGGATATATTTATGTGTTCTGTTGAGAATAGCAGTTTATGTATGTACATAATCATTTTAGCACAGCAATCCATACACGCAGTAAATCAGATCGAACCTTTGATATGTTTAGCACCAGGAAGAGGAAGGCGGTAAAAGTGAGAAGTCAATCCACCGTATATGAAATGCTGGACACTTAGCGTCTCTTGCACTAGGATCTTTCCTCTAATTGGCTTTTTCTGTCTATGCAGATGTTTTTCTTGCTCGTTTGTGCAGTAGCTAACGAGGACTCCTGCCAATTGAAATTTTCATCCGTTGAAACAGAAGCTTCTAGAGGTTAAACATTTAATGGCTGGCGACTAGGTATATCACTGATGCGCTACCTTGCAGAATACATCATTTTGATTTAGAGAGTCAGTAAATACATTGTGCTTTAGGGGTGAGGTCTGATAATTGTGCTTTTATGTAAATGAATCCATGCACTAATGTGATTTATGTACCAGATTCATGATAAGAAAGCAACTGCATATGAATATGGGTGGTTAAAATGATTTTCCCATGGCCTTTTTGCTTCTCCAGACATGTTGTTGTGCTGTCTGTTTTTATCTTTTCTACTAGAATTCAAGATAGTGCTTTTAGAGGTGACTGATTGATTTAAATCCATCTTTAATTTTCTTTGTGATCATAATAACTGTACCCAGGGTGAGAGGTTTTTTTGTCCAGTTGAAAAATAACACTCGCATGTTTCTATTTAAATACTAAGCTGTACAGATGTACATAAAAATTTTCTTTTAGGGTAAATTTTTACAATGATTTAACATTTGTATTAATTGTAAATAGAATGTGAATATATTAAATGCACATTTTCATTACTGAAGATTTTTTTGTTTTTCAACAGAACACTGTATGTTAGCGACGTCATGTTCAGATTTCCTGTGCTATATGAACATGGCTTTCTGTCATTTAAATGGTGATGTTGAAATGGGCTAAATGCAGTTGACTAGAAGAAAGATCTGCCATTATTGACACAGGACTGCTGTCTAAACTTCAAGAGAGAGGAACGTCATGGTTTTGAGCGGTTCTAGATGTCTCTATGTAGTACTCATTTTCGAGTGATCTCAAAACAATCATTGGCAAGCAGTATAAAATCAATTTAGTTTTAAAAGTATTGACAAGATGAAATCTACATATATATATATATTCATATATGGATGCAATATGATCTATGATTTAAAGGTACTCTTATGAGCCTCGATTATCCAAACTTGTAATAACTTGTAATTTAAACACTTTTTTTTTTTGGTGAAGTGAGTATTACTAATGGATTTTCTGAGTCTGTTGCGAATCATCTTTGTATTTTGCTGTATTGAGAATAAAATATATATGATTAAAGAGTTTTGACTCTGGTTTGAATTTCTTTTTTCTTTCTTTTAAAGGGGTCATATGATGCTTTTTTAAAGATCATTATTTTGTGTATTTGGTGTAACAGAATATGTTGACATGCTTTAATGTTCAAAAAACACATTATTTTTCAAATACTGTACATTATTGTAGGTCCTCTATGCCCCGCCTCTCTCAAACGCTTCGTTTTCTACAAAGCCCCCTCCTTTGACAAGCGCAGTCCGCTCTGATTGGCCAGCTGACCCAGTGCACTGTGATTGGCCGAAGTAGATATGTGGGGTGTGTTAGAACGAGCCGTTTTAGGGGGGCGTGGCAGAGTCTTAACTTTGATAAAGAATATCTCTTTGGTTTTGAGACTTTGTCTTTGCAACTTCAGGGATCTTATCTATGCACAATCAGCTTGTAACACTCCAAAGAGAAAGGAAAACTTGAAATCGCATCATATGACCCCTTTAAAGTGTTTTTGAGCATGGATGTGAACCTTAATTTAGCATGAGGAACACACTATGAATTTTGATGCATTGATGGTGAAAGAAATGCACCAACAAGTGTCCGAACGGTCCGGTGCTTCAGCATTTTAATCACCTTTTTACAGCTCGCTTTAATGATTCTGTTATGCGACAAATGGAGGTTTAGAAGTAGGCAGTATTCTATGCAGTCTGAAATCATAGGAGGTTTAAAGCAGTGCTGGAACTAATTGTCAATTCTAGCAGTGTTGGGGAAAGTTACTTTTAAAAGTGATGCATTACAATATTGCATTACTCCATAAAAAGTAAGTAATTGTGTCAGTTACTTTTTATGGAAAGTAATGCGTTACGTTACTTTTGCGTTACTTTTTGTCACCTGGGCTGGGCTTGCTTGTATGCATTTTAATAACAAAACCCCAAAAGTTATATTTTTGACAACTATAAAGGCTTTTTCAAGCCAAAGGTGAAATTAATAAGCCTCAGCCTAAAGCAAGTGCCTCTTCCACTGCACTTCCTCCCGATTTCACGGGACAGGAGATGTGTCGGTAAATAAATGGAGAAACAAAGTAACTCAAATATTTTGTTGTAAATTTTAAAGTAATGCGTTACTTTACTAGTTACTTGAAAAAACCTTCACTGAATTCTATTTAACCCCTTAACTGTCACCCCCCATTTTCAAAAATAGGCATGCAGGTGCACTATCCAAACTTAAATTGTTGTAATTTATGAACACTTTGGAATACAGACATAAGGTTGGTCTCTTTTTAAAGAAGAAAATCAGCAAATTATCGCAAAAGTGGAATTTTTTCAAAATATTTAAGTATCAAAAAGTTATAGTAGTTTAAATTTACTGTAAAGAAAATGCACTATATTAATTGTATTTTATTTTATATATAATAAATTTTACATATCAGGTTTTACTCTAAAATTGGTCAAAAAAAATTTATAGCCTTATGTCTAAATAAGTTATGTTCCAAATTTGAAGTTGATATGAAAAAAATTGAGGTTCCTGTGAGATTTTATTTAGGGCGTTATACCACAAACAGCCACCAGGTGCCTCAAACTCCATTGAATTTTTTTAAATGCATTTTTCTGTCACAAATGTCTAGATTTATCTGTCAATATTACTTCTATCACCAAATATGGAATCCTGAGACTCAGACCTTTGCAATTATATG